CTTCTAGCCTGTCCTCTGCCCTAGCCCCTGGCCTCCCACTGACCCCTGGCCAACCTGCCCACTCGCTCCTGGGAACCCGGGGAGTTGGATAGGCTGGTGAGGTGGAGGGTGTCACTTTCAGGGCCGGGGATGGTGGAGCAGGGTTCGCCTGTTGAGCAGGAGTGAGAGCATCACCATGTAATTCTTAGCATTAAGGAATGGCTTCATTTAGCAATTCCCTGAAAGGCTGTGTGACAGGTGTGGTGGGTGCTCGAAGGGAATGAGGTGACACCCCAAGGTCCTGAGAATGAAGCAGAAGGAGCTCTCTCTTCCCTTTAGGGGGCGCCTCTCTACTTCCTAGCAGGACAGAGAGCGGCTCCATACCTGGGGATTTTCTTTCATTCTCCCTTCCTCTTTGTGTTTCCTAAAATTCTCTTTCGGAAGCACTGTTCAGCACTCAAAAGTTTGGTCTGCTGCAGTGAAATAGGTCCTTGTCTGAGACCTTGAGACTGCCTAGGCCCCAACAACACTGCCGGTGTGGCTCAGTGCTTGAGGGTTGACCCAGGAACCAAGAGGTCACCAGTTCCATTCCTAATCAGAGCACATGCCCAGGTTGCAGACTTGATCCCCAGTAGGGGGAGTGCAGAGGCAGCCAATTCATCTGTTTCTCTTTCATGGATGTTTCTCTCTATCCCTCTCCTTTCCTTCTCTCTCTAAAAAATCAACAAAAATATATGTTTTTAAAAAACAAACAAAGAAAAAACAAACTGCAAATTATATATCAGAGCTTCATTCTCAGAGTGTGATACGGGGCTCCACAGGGGGCGGAGCTGGCCTTGACTCCCAGCTGCCTCTCTTTCTACCTGTGCTCCCAGGACCAGGGCAGCACCTGCCTGTGCCTGTCCCCCCACAAACCCCATGGTTCCTCAGTCCCCCACTGAGTCGGAGGTCAGAAGTGACAAGGGTGGGATACAAAGCCCTTGGTGGAAAACCAGGCATCTCCCTGCCTTCCCAGCCTCCTGTTGGGAAAAATAATGACGACTTTACAAAGCTATTTCATAAAATGTTATGTTAAATGAACATCAAATTACTTTTCCTTTTACTAGCTTTAAATGCTAATGGTCCCATTCATTCCTGACCTTCAGGAATATGAGATGTTTTCAATGACAACATAAAGAGAGTTCTTGTTTGAAAATGCAAGCTACTTGGGACCACATCTTATTACTTCTAAGTATAGCGTGCACCAGCATCTCGCACTTCAGCCGCCCATCTATACATAGCTGGTGTATATTTCAGTTGATGTTTATTGTTCTCCTGCATACGTGCCAAATTCCTTAATGATGACTCTGACAAAGACGTAGAGCTTGGTATATAGAAATTACATCTGCTACCATGTAATCAGTGTTATCTATCAGAACGCTATTTGTGACAAATCATGTTCAAAATAAAAATTGAATTGATTTTTCTGTGATTTTAATATGGTGCCCTCCCAGCAAGACTTTGTTTGAACCTTACACACTTTAATGCTCTGTTTTTGTTTGAGGCAGATCAGTAATGAAGCTTGCGATATACACAAAGCTAAAACGATCTGCAAAACAACAAAATCAAATTTCCAAAAGCAGCTTTATTTGCAAGCCCAGGGAATGAACTTGGTAAAGCTCTCTTTATGGGCTCACAACTCAAGGACGGGAGCCTCACGCACACGTTCCCCCATTGCGTTTCTATGAATCCGTTTCCATCTAAATTAGACTGTAACTGATGTGGGTCTGAGAGGCCTCTGCCAGGCCTTCCTCTCTCCTCTTCTCTCCAGCGAGTGCAGGCTTTTCCCCGGCTGATCCATGCTCCACCTCATCCCTGGGCCCTCTCTCTCACCAGTGGGTTTGGGCTAACGGCTCTGTGTCCTGGGCATATGGGGGTTCTGTCTCCCACATCCCCCAAAGGGGTCTCTCTCAAGGGGGCACCTGCTTGACCCGTTTTGTTTGCAAAATGAGTCACTTATGACCATCCCCTTGGGTTAACTCATGGTTAGGAGCAGGGAGTGGTGTGGTAGGGCACATTCCTCCAGCGAATAATGGTCTTCACATTTTTAACTGTTTTAAATATTTTGTGATACATGAAAATGATATTAAACTTTCAATGTCTGTAAATAAAGCTTTATTGGAACACAGCCACCCTCGCTAATTTCCATATTGTCTGAAACTACTTTCCCTTTAACACAGCAGAATTGCCACAGAGACCCTCTGGCCCATGAAGCCTAAAATATCTAGTATCTGGCCCTTTGCAGAAAAATGTTTCAATCCCTGATTTAGAAGGCGGGGCCATAGTAACTGATGCCAGCCAGGCAAATAGAAGTGATTGGAGCTGGGGTCTGGGACTATGGAGGGCACAGGGTGACATGGCCAGATGGAGAGGCCTAGGGAGAGTTGCCGTTGGTGTGACCTTCATGAAAACACATACAGGAAATAAGGCTTGTAGGATGTTGGCACTGGGTGCCCAGCTCCTCTAGGCCATGCAGTGCCTGGTGCCTAATCCTGATGGCACCCCAGGCTGGTCAGGAAAGATGGGGTACACACTCCCTCTCAACCTTTGGAGCATCCAGACAAATCCTGTTTGAGTCGACATATGGACATGGGTTTTGTTGGGGACATGTCAGCCTTGGGTGGGGGGTGCTGTATTTTTTCTGGGAAGGGGCTGACTTAGGAAGACTGATGGAGGTTGTCTAGGAGAGGACGGATGGGGCTCTGCCTGCCTGGGCCGTCACACAGTGACAGCTCACCTGTGAAGTGCTCCCTCTGGGCTGGGCACCAGGGTCCACCTGGGATCTTTAGAGAGAAGAGATGAAAATGCTTAGGGGACCCAGAGGCCTTCTGAGAAAGAAGCCAGGACCCCAACTTTTGAAATTCTGGGGTGGGGATGAGGTCTGATGAGCAAGGCCTGGGAGCAGGGCAGAGAGGTGAGGGCATCCGGTCTTGAGCCTTAATTGAACTTTTCATGTTTGCCTTTTTATTGTTCCTTTCTGGTGCTGTTAGCTGTGCTCAAAAGGAAGCAGAGGGCCTGTGAGGTTTATGTGAGCAAAATGCTAGGCTGGTGTGGCTTAGTGGTTGAGCGTCAACCTATGAACCGGGAGGTCAAGGTTTGATTCCCGGTCAGGACACATGCTCAGGTATCGGGCTCGATCCCCACTGTGGGTGTGGATGTTTCTCTCTCTCTCTCCCTCTCCTTTCCTCTCTGA